AGAATGAAACTTAATTTATAGAAGGGCTGCTTTCTTTGAGGTTGAAAAGTATTTTTAAGGAAATCTTTTAAAAATATTCCTTATTCCTGGGCTTTCTACTGACCCAGAGATCTGACCACAGACCACGTTAGCATTTTGTAGTTTTCTAAAATTTGCTCAATATTTAGGATTATTTGGAAGTTCCAGTCTTGTTACTTTAAAAACTCCTTTGTATTGTATCTTAAGATTCAGAACACACATAATAATAGTTGTTCCCCCCACCACCACGTTTCTTGCTTACATGAACTTGTGATTTGGCTTTCAGATCAGTCACTGATAGGCAGCTCTCTGAAGTATATGTTAAATGGCAGAAACACTCCCAGCTTTTCAAGGACAGTGATTTTAGTTTTCAGGAGCCTATTATGGCTCTGCGCACAGTCATTTTGGAGATCCTGATGGAAAAGGAAATGGAAAGCTCCCAAAGAGAATGTTTTAAAGACATTCTCACCAAGCACCTTGTGGAACTCTCTATACTGGCCCGAACTTTCAAGAACACTCAGGTAATAAGATTTAAAACTATGTCATATCACCACGTGACTTTTTTTACTCAGAAAACAGAAAGCATAGTTAGAAAGAAATGTCATTGAGAGACAGAGATCACTATTAAAATATTGTATAACATAATTGTTTAAGATTTCTCTTTTAGAGTTAGACAGACATGGATTTAAGCCTTGGGCAGGATATTTATCTTCTCTAAACCATTGTCAATGTCGTGATTATAAAATGAGAAGATACCTAACTCACTATATTGATAACAATTCAGTGATTTTATGTATTCTGTGTGTGTGTGTGTGTGTGTGTGTGAATAGAGACAGATGGACACATACTGGGGCGGGGGTAAGAAGGCAGGCAGAGAAGTAAAAACACAGTTACTGAAAAGTAGTGTTTAGTGAATGGTGCACCCACTCCTCACTTACCGACATGGTTAGATGTCAAAGAGTAGGTCATTATGGGACAGTCGGCGTTATGTGAAAATGGAGGATGACTGCATCATTACATAACGGCCAAATTACGTCATTACATAACTGCCAAACCAATGAGAATCATGGCCCAGCCAAGGTGACACATAACCTTAACTGTCATAGCCAGCGTTACTCTCGCCTCTTACCTCAGCATTCGTTACTGCCAGACATATGTCGTTAATACACAAAATAGTAGGACAGTAGATTTTTTACTATTGTCGTAAATGCAAAATGTTGGATAATGAGATAGTCAATAAGTGAGGAGTAGGTGTAGTTGGTATTCTCATTATTATTGGTGGTCGTAACAGCAATAGTATTTACTCCTATATGTCATTTTCATTTCAGCTCCCTGAAAGGGCAATATTTCAAATTAAGCAGTATAATTCAACTAGTTGTGGAGTCTCTGAGTGGCAGCTGGAGGAAGCGCAAGTATTCTGGGCAAAAAAGGAGCAGAGTCTTGCCCTGAACATTCTTAAGCAAATGATCAAGAAGTTGGATGCCAGTTGTACAGAGGTTACTTTTTTTTATTGACTAAATTAGTGTTTCACTGCTGTAGAAAAATATTTCTGTGCTTTAGCATATTAAAGGCTTGGAATTAACTGATCCATGAAGAAGTTGTAAAAAGGAGTCTTGAAAATTAATGTTTGTAAAAGAAGTTTAGAAAGCGTCCATTTTTCCTATTCACAGCAATTCTATCAAATCCGTCTTGTGGTGGATTTAATTTATCTCAATATTGAGCATTTTTTAATTTCCTATAGAATTCAAAGAGAGTACATGGGAAACATTAAATATGAAACAGCTAGTATAAATTTGACATGGCAAAGAAGAAAAAATGAAAGAGTAAATACATGAAAGGACAAAAGTTAAAAGAAAGTGGGACAATTAGGTTGTCAGTCCAACTGCTTTGAAAATGCTACATTCAGTGTTTCTCTACCATTACCTATTACTTGTTGCAAACTTATATAGCAACCTTAGTTCTGTCATCAGCATACAGTGGGCAAAGTGGAGGCATTTTCAGGAATAATGGTGTATTCAAATGTTTGGCCGCAGTGGTCCTCTGACTTACACCTGCTTAGTGAATATCAACTTACTGTACTTACGGATGTTGGACACTTGTATGACATTCTTCTTTCTTAAAGAATTCTTCATTATACCAAAACCCTGGGAACCAGTATGATATGTTTAAGTATGGCTTAACAGTATGGATCCTGGAGTCAAGCTGACTGGAGTTACCTATCCTCTTTGTACCTCAGTTGTCTAATCTGCAAATTGAGAATAAT